TGTCTGTGTCATTATTAAAAACTGGCCTTTCAAGGCAACACCCAGGGGATGGAGAGAGAAGATAATTTCACTTATAAAATCATAGAACGTGACCCCGACAGGAATGCGGCGGCCCCGAGACGGGAGCGGGGGGATAGCTATAGGTTTTCGCGGCTTTGCAGGGATTTAGCGGGATGGGTTGTGGGGAGCCGAAAAAGCTGCACTGAGGGAGGGATAAAGGTTCAGCTGGATCCAGGGTACCCCACGGATCGCTCTCATCGCCCTCCGTTCGATTCCAAGGTTTCTATCTTCCAGGAGAAATCCCTGTGAGGTGTGAAAGTCGCACGGCAAAACCGGGACCACAGATAGCAGGAGAAATTCCTCCCATCATCCCAGAATTTCGTCCTGAGAGAGGCCAGTCCCCGGCAGCTTTCTGGTTACTAGAAACTAATAAAAACAGTATTAGAAGCTAATAAAAGCTTGCTTAATAATAAATCTGGGTAAATTCCAGGCGCGGAGCAAGAGCGGGCGAGGTTTGAGATGCTGAAAGGGAGCCCGGGGCGGGGTCCAGCAGGTCAGGAACATTTTCGGGTGTCTGGAGCCGCGTTTCTGGCGTKCCTTACACAGCAGCCGCATTTCACGTGGATCAAAATAAGCTGTGTTTGAAGTTCCCGGGTTGTGCCACGATCTCTTGAGGAGGCCGGGGACCATTCTCCTGTTTCTGTAGTGGTGCCTGGCGCTGACAGCACGGATGGATAAACTTCTGTTTTCCATAGTGGGAGAATTACATCCGGCGGCCACAGACCTTTTGAATCGTCCCATTAAAATCTGCTTCGCTTTAGGTTCAGCCCTAACCGGGATTGTTTACAGTATAACACATCACGTATGAGGTAGGGGAGCTCAGAGTCGGTCTCTTGGTTCAAAGAGCTGTGCCTTTGAAGAGAAAAAAAWTTTTCCCCTTATTTAATTTTTTTTTGACTGAACACACATTGAAAAGAAGGCTTGGGATCCCGTCTGTGTAACAAGGGGTCGSTTGTCCGCCTGCAGCGCCCCATATGAGAATTATTGTGCTCAAGACCCACAGCGTTTTCTGGGGAAAGCCTCTTTTTCGGCTTGTGGGATGTATGGGGACAAAAGCAGGAGGACAAGGGGCAATGTGGATGTTGGGTGGGTCCTGCCTGGACCCGGGGGAGGTTAAAAAACGCTTTTTTTCCTTCTCCTCCCCGGCAGCAGCTCAGGCTGTAGGCCCCGTGTCTCCAGGTCTTTCCACTCATCGCACTCCATCCTGTGGGTTTGGGAGCCGAGGCTTGCATTTGGGCTGGAAAAAATAATTCAACAAAACAGGAAACAAACCCCAAACGTCAACTCCCTCCAACTATCCCGAATTATAATAGCAGCAATTATCTGTGGAGAAGCAGCTCTTCAACGCGCTGCCGTGTGAATGCTGTTTGCTACCGGCGTGAAAATGATTTGATTTTTTTTTTTCCGATGGAAAAATAGTCAGGCGCCCTGCTGCGAACAGTCACCTTTTAGACTAAAATTTCCCCGTGGGGATTTGTGCCCCACGCCTGGTCCTGGCCCGGATTTCCCGATGTACTCATATTCCTACTGCCGTGCCGTGGGTGGATATAGAAGGCATTTGCACCCCGATTTGGGGTGGGAACCATAGGAGTGCTGAGCCCCTGCAGAGCTGAGCTGAGCCCCTCGGCCTCCGGGAGATTTTTGTGGGGCGACCTTGCCGGGAGCAGCTCTGTGCCCTGACTCTGACAGCGGATCTGGTTAAAGCTCCTGTCCTGGAGTTTGTCTAGGTACAGCCCTCGCTGACTTTTCCCTGCTCCTTC